GGCGGCGATGAACCGGACGTTTCCGGTCGATGTTTCCACCTCTACGCCAACGGCCTCGATGATGGAAGTGCGGTAGTGGGGTAGGGTGCAGTACTTGATGCCTTTCTTGATGATGACCGCGACACCGCCCCCCCTGGAGCTGGTGCGATCAAGCCGGACAATGCTGTGGTCGGGCAGCCAGAAGCTGTCACCGGTCTTGAGGTGAGTCTCGGTGAGAAGGCCCACGTCGATGTCGTGCTTGCGGAGGAAGTCTGCAAGCTCAATGTTTTTCGCCCCTACGGAGCGAGCGTTCCAGTTGGCGATCTTTATGGGTTCACGGTCCATAATTAGCGACGAAGGAGATGATAGCTTGGAGCTGATACCAGACAGCAGCGCTGCTTTATATCTTTTCAGGTTAAAGCAGAATGATGTGCAACCAAGTGGTATAAAAGCTACAAAGACTCCTCCCATTATGAGTAGTTTGCTATCAAGTAGCGACACTGGCTATTTTCTTTAAGCGTACACGGCGAATGAGAACGAATCAAATTTGAGTTTAGTTAACTCATAATCCCCAAAAGTGTAGAAACTCAGCGATGAGTAAATTTGTCTCATGGTTTCCAGTGGAAAACCTAAAAAAATCTGCCAGAAAATGAGGAAATTGACGAAAATTTTATTCAGTCTCGGAGTAGTACCAATAGACTGAGTGAATAAAATCTTTACTTTTCTCAAATTCGGGAATTTTTCCCTGGTAAATCCTGGAAAAACCTGGGAAAACATGAGGCAAATTTACACATCGCTGAGTTCCTGCACTTTATTCCTTATTTCTGAGATAACTAAACTCAAATTTGGGTTGTTCTCATTCGCCGTGATAGATATTGGCGCCGGTGGTTAGCGGAATTAACATCTCTGGGAGCTGCCACCCTGGCATCGGTAGCATTGCAGCTCAGTACGGAAAACAAATCTCGCGTCACTTTTCAATAGGTCCTATCTACATTGATCAATTCTCTTCATCGACACTCTCTTTCGTAAATAACTCGGTTACACAAAATTTGAGTTAATGTTTCCTGCCGTTTTCGTCGAATTAGATGCTAGATTGTTGCTTCTTCCATCGAAAATATCCAGCCGTGGCGATTCAAAGTTGATCAAGATTGATCAAAATAATTTGTACCCCTGCTTCCAGTTTGATTACATGAGCATTTTGTGCGATCGTATGGACAAACAGGCAGATGAATTCTATTCCTACTCTTTAGTGTAATAAGCTTGGTGGCCCTGCAAAGAGCCGTTTTGTTGCCAAAGATGATTTCTCGATGAACATTTCAAATAGTCATCTGCTTTGATCGATTCTCTTCATCGACTTTCTCTTTTCATAACCACTGCTATGCAAACAGATTTCGCGCTAATTCTACCACAGTTTGATAAAGGAGGTTCTTATCTAGCGTACAAAACGTCAAATACAACAGGGAAAGGTTTTACAGCTTAGTTATTAACGAAAGAGAAAGTCCATGAAGAGAATCGATCAAAGCAGATAGGACCATTTGAAATGTTCATCGAGATTTAACCTTCGAAACCAAACAGAGTGCGTCTCTGTCACTTCAAAAACGTAGATGACATCCATGGCCGCTTACGCTTGGCGTGTTTAGTGTAGGTGACAGCATCACGGATCTCACTTTTCAGGAACACCTTCAGTACACCTCGTAAATCAGACCGGAGATACATCAGACACCGCCACGGCGAGCCAGACGACGGATGGTGGTTATCTTGAAGAATTTGCGTTTGGTTCTGAATATGGCGATGAGTGTGCAAAATATTACGCAATTCCATCCTCCATATTCGCACGCGCCCGAGAATCGGAGGCGAATACCACTTCGACTTGTTTCGTCTACTTACTACTCTCTGACGACTGTGCTGGGGAAGCAGCATATGCATGTAGGTAATTGGTGGATTTGTTAGTTAATTCGACGCTTTTGGACAATACTGGACATTTACCAGTTTTTCAATAGTTTCTTGTTGAAAATCAACATTCGGAAGCATTGTTAACGATGCGTAGCCATATTTATGATCGATTGGTGATGAAATTATTGAAATTGGACCATGAGCAGTTGAGTTATTAACGTTCAAAATCTTTCTTAATTTGTTACATGTTCCATTTTCGGTTTTCACAAAGTGTACCCCCATATAGAAATCAAAGACGTAGTCCTACGTCAAAAAACTTGAGGCTCAATAAATTTCTCAGTAGATCTGCAAACTTCTCTGACGTTTTGTAAATTCCTCTCGGGTTACCCTGAAGATTTGAAAATTTCCTTTAAGATTACCTAAAGTTGTCAAAATTTATCTGAAAATATTTGAGCTTCTTTGAAGTTTTAAATGTCTCTCTCAAGATCTACAAATTTTCCTGAAATCGTGTAAATATTTTTTTTTAAATCCCCGAACTTCCCTGAAGTTCTGCAATTTTTACTGAAGATCCATTAAGATTTCTGAGATTCTTGTGATTTTTTCAGAAGTCCTGTAATATTTTTCTTTTTTCAAAGTTCTGTAGCTTTGTTCTGAAGAGCTACGAACTTCTCTGATGTTGAATAATGTTTCGAGGATCTCCAAACTGCTGTGAAATACTTTATATTTCACTGTAGATTCTTGAACTTGTCTGAAGTTATGCGAATTTCCCTGAAGATTTGCAAAATTTCGCTTATAGTTTTACAAATTGATTTGAAATTATTTTTGCTTGCTTGAAGTTTTGAAATATTCTTTGAACATTTATCTGAAGATCTACGACCTCTCTTGTGATTTTGTTTTTTATGAATTTCTATTAATAACTTTTAATTTGATTGTAGTTCTGTTCTCAAGATCTACGAGCTACACTGAAGCTCAACAAATTTCTCAGTAGATCTCCGACCATCTCTGAAGCTCAAAAAAATCTATGTAGGCTCTCAGACCTGCTGTCTAGCATGCTTATTCTTATACAATACATATGCTTCGTATGCTTCCTTTTGACGGTTGCCAGTCTCTCTTTTTCGGCTGTTTCCTTTTTACGACGATTTTGATCCTCCACATACAAATCAGCCAAGAGCTAGCGTGACAAGACTCTCTGAATGAACTTGTCTCGTTCATACATGTTGTCTTAGCTGTCAGATGCTTGTCAAGTTCAGTGTCTTTAAGAAACGTTTCGAGAAACTGAACGAAAAACTTCTTTTGAATTACGAATGAAGTGATAATTGGAAAATTCCCTGAGTGGAATTTCCAGGTTTTTCCAGAAAAAATAAAATTCCCTGTAAATTCCCGGTTCTCCAGGTTTTTTTCAGGTAGTAGACACCCTGCATGAGCCAATGTCTGCGATGATTTGGGCATTCTCCGCTGTGGAAGAAGCATTTGAATTCGGGGAAACATCGAACTAATTTTGATTGAGAAGATTGTGATTTTTTTTTATTTTTGTAATCTGTTTATCTGTTGCTTTTTTGTGTATTATCTAAGTTTTATTCATTAAGACAACTACTGTCAGATGAATGAAAATAAATAAATAAATAAATAAATAAATAAATAAATAAAAGGACGAACACGATTTAAAATGACAACAGGTCAAAATCGACCAAAGGACAGATGGGAAAATCGTCGAGTGGACAAGAATTATAAAGGAACTAAACGAAAAAAGAAATGAAATTAACCTAGAAAGTAATGTTAGACCCCCATGATATTGAAATCATTGTTTAAAAAACATGTTATTCTACCACCTCTCTTAAGCCGATCAAGGGCTCTACAAAGTCACTTCCTAGATTTGCAATAGGAGAATTGAAAGATCTCAACAGCGACTCGGGACATTTTGCGCAAATGTTGCAACTTTCAGCGCACGCATTCTTCAAATTCCAATTAGGAAACCATTTCCTTCAACCACCCGCTTCGAAAACGATTATTACCTCACCTTAACACCCCCGATGCTTCCGACTATTGCCACCGCCGCCCAGGAAGCACGTTCCACTAAGTACGGCAATTTTACTCGCTCTAGATATCAATTTTGCTAAATTGATTGATCCATTCCGTGCAATAATTTACCACCCGGCCCCTCTCCCTATGGCAGTGTTTAGAAGCCCATGTTCACAAGCCCAAATCACACTGAATACAATAATGTTGCATGCAAGTATAAGCACCGACACGACCATTTACACAAACTTCCACGTGTGTCGACTCGTCGGCTGTTTTTAATGCTATGCTCACATCGTTGGACTTTGCGAGAGTGCACATATTGCAACAATCCAAGTGTACAAATTATTAGAGTTCCCTCCGAGTCTTGACTTGCTAGGTACAACAGACAACAAACAATGCACTCCCATTCAATTGGGTTAAATGAATGAACGCTTTTGCTCCGACTAAGTTGCAGCTAGGCCCGGTGCGACGCAGTTCTTGCACCACCACTCGAAAACCAGCAAGATTATGCAATCTGATAAAAAGGGCTGCCTTGCATATACACACACACCCACACACACACACACTCACCCACCGCGCAGCACCGAGTAAGAGTTATGTTGTTTTTGTTCTTAGCTTTGTGCAATTTGCTTCGATTTATTTCAGCGCTCGCCCCACATTCGCGGCCGCTGCTGCTCGCTGCTAGATTTTCCAATAATGATATGCATGGGCAAACTAATCTCCCAACAGCCCCCTGTTGCTGCCGGTTTGTACTTGTGATCGAGTTTTTTTTTCTCTTCTCACTGTGTGAATTGCATATCTCCCATCATAAGTAGGTAATAGAGCGAACCACGAGGTTAGGTCGGTGGGGAAAATTCTCACGGCGATCGGTAATTACTACATTATGCATGAATGGAGTGATATCGACTGCGTTGCCAAGTAGGACCTACACACTTTCGTTCGATCGTTCTCTCCGACTGATTGCCCCGGTCGCTGATAGGTCTCGCTGGATAAGGTATTTTAATTAGAAGCTTGAACACTGATCATAGTTATTATAGTGTACGATATATACAGAACGGATTAGTCTCGTTGAGAATATACGGACTGTTTGTTCTACACGGGGTACTTACGTCTGGCATGGCAACGCTGTAGGTGCAGAATAACGTCCATGACGCCGCGATATACAGGCCAAGTCGCGTCATCTTGGCGGGGTGGGTCTGGAAAGGGGGAGAAAACATAGAACTAGGTTAATATTGATCTTATATTTTTGTGCTGAAATGGTTACAAATTGTTTATCAAAACAGGGATCTTCAGACATAAGCTCATACCGAACGGTCATAAATCTTTATCCAGTTTCAGTTGCTTTTTCAAGGAATTTCGCGGCATTTAGAATTAACACTTGTGATAGGTCTTCTTCATTTCAATGTACTTGTAAGTCTTTAGGGCGATATTTTTAACCATCCAGCGCTAATTCTCTAAAAACAAAAGGCGTGAAATAGAAATTTCATTCGACGCTAACTGGGTGCAAAAAATAATTTAGGGATGCTTTCTGCTGGAATTTGAAGTCTTTGATGGCAATGTCTCAAACTGCCCTAACTTCGGGAAACTGCTGGCAATCAACAAGATATTTGCAACCTCTTCTCAGCCAAATTTGCTAGTGTGTTCGAGGACGAGCAACACTCCCCTAATCTCATTACTTCCGCGGCCAGTAATGTTCCTTTGGTCAACCAAACGCTCCGCATGGTCGAAGCCACTACAGATACGATTTCTAGATCATCATCTAAACTTAAGACTTCAGCTAAGGCCCGATGGTGTTCCGTTGATTATTCTTAAAAAGAACATTACTTGTCTTTTGTATCCACTGCACCGCATATTCCAGCTCTCTCTTTCAAGCGGCAACTTTCCGTCTTGCTGGAAGACTGCGGATATGTTTCCTGTTCATAAAAAGGGAAGCAAACGCGACGTAAACAACTACCGGGGAATCACGTCGCTGAGTGCTGTATCATAACGTTTTGAATTGGTTGTCATAGAGTCCCTAAATGCGCATTGCAAGCAATATCTAAGTATAGATCAACACGGAATCATAACTGGGCGTTCCACAACCACGAACCTGCTGTGCCTAACGTCTTACATCACAGACAGTTTTATTGCTCGGACCCAAACGGACGTTATCTACACAGATCTTACGGCAGCCTTCGATAAGCTGAACCACGAAATTGCGATCGCTAAGCTTGATAGGCTAGGGATCGGTGGAAATCTTTTGAGATGGTTTCGTTCATACCTCATGGAGTGCCAATTGACAGTAACTTAAGGTACTTGTCACTCAGCAAGCTTCTTCTCAAAGTCTGGTATACCTCAGAGTAGCCATCTGGGACCATTGGTATTTTTCCTTTACTTCAACGACGTTCACCATGTTATCACAGGGCCACGATTTTCGTTTGCAGGCGATCTGAAAGTTTTTCTGCGCATCCGCTCACTCGCCGACTGCCGTTCTCTCCAAAATCAGATTGACATCTTTGCTGACTGGTGTAGTCTAAACCGACTGGTGGTCAACCCAGCTAAGTGTACAGTTATTACTTTCTCACGCAAGAAAAAACCGATTATTTTCATCTACAAACTACGAACGGGTGCATTGCGTGAAAGACTTAGGCATTTTTCTAGACTCAAAGCTGACATACTCACACCATATATCGTATGTCGTCGACAAAGCGTGCAGAACTCTTGGCTTTGTCTTCAAGATTACTAAGAACTTCACAGACATTTACTGCTTGAAATCGCTCTATTGCTCTCTCGTACGATCTACGTTGGAATACTGCTCTGCAGTCTGGAGCCCGAACTACAATAATGGGGCCGAGCGAATTGAATCTGTGCAACGACGTTTTCTTCGCTTCGCGCTCCGTAAGCTGCCTTGCTCACTTCGTCTTCCAAGCTACGAAAATCGCTGCCAATTGATCAATGTCGAGCCCTTACGCATCAGAAGAGATGTTTTCAGAGCCTTAACCGTCACCGATACTCTGTAAGGAAGAATCGACTGCGAAGCAATTCTGCAACAAGTGAACATTAATGTTCAACCTCGATCACTACGCAACAGTCTTATGCTGAGACTTCCACTTCTTCGAGCTAATTATGGCTTGGGAAGCGCTATTTACGGCTTGCAGTGAGTGTTCAACCGAGTAGCGTCAATGTTCGATTTCTACTTGACACGGAATATGCTCGCCGAAGATTCTCTGCCTTTTTTGCTGACCGAAGGCGCTTGATGCCCAACAGCTAAGTGTAAAATTTAAGACTTATACATTTTTAGTAACTTGACAATGCTTTCCTAGTTATTTTTTCGTTTGTAACTGTAGTATATGCAGTCTGTATAATATTTTTTTACAACGCATTTCTAGTCTGTTGATGCAAACATAACAAATAAACAAACAAATAAACTTAATCTTTGCTTAAAAAATTAAGATTAAATTAAGGAATCAAGATCATTATATCCACCACGGCATTCTATTGGAAGGTGCTGATCTTATTTTCCAAATGAATAGTTTAGACTGTAGCGATCACAATGTGAGATAGATAGCAATAACATACATTTCATAATTCAGTCTACTGACAAAGTGGAAGCCTTTCATGTGATCCTTTTGCCCCAGACCAGAAAGTGGACTGCGTGAAAAAACAAATCCGTGATATTTCTAATGTTAATTCTAGGTCATTTAAAGTCGTGGGCAAAACGTAAAATTATTGACTGCTCACACGGTAACCGCAAAATACCCAATAATGACTACAAAGTAAGCATTTTCGAGGGAAACTGGGACTACCCATTAAATGAGTAAAATTTTACCCATTTATGAGTAATTACAACTATAAAAACAAGTAGTAAGTATTCATTTTTGAGTAACAAATACTCATAAATGAATAATATTTTTACTCATTTAATGGGTAGTCCCAGTCTCCCTCGAAAATACTTACTTTGTCGTCATTATTGGGTATTTTGTGGTTACCGTGTAGGCTGTGTGAAAGCACTGCTCTATTCAATTCCTTGCTCTATCCAGACCGTACACAGAGAAAAAATTTACCCTAAATTTAAGTTCTTTTTACTTAATTTTGGGAAATTTTGAGTTTTGTATCCCACTCTAACTTTTTGTTGTTGTCAAAAACGGAACGAGAGATTCGACTTTCTCATGACTACACACCAAAAAATTCTGAATTTTACTGGCGATGTAAACATCCATGCATACAAATATTCATACATGTAAACTTCCTTTTCACGTAAACTAGCAGCTTGCAAGAAATGTTTCAAACAAAAGTGGACAGTTGCATACAATATATGGAATATTGCATAATATGTCTCATAAATTTACACGATTTATTATCTTAACTTGTATGATATATGACGCTCCATTTATGTGCATCTTAGTAACGGAAATTTACACTACTTTTTTTTAGCTGTGTATCGTTCAATAAGCTACTAGTGAGTATATGAGATATTTTCAAATTTGAGTCAATTTAACTTAATTTTTGGTGGAAAATACTCACGAGTAAGTAATTATTTTTGCCGTAGTCAAATGTAAACTACTATAAGCGGTTTACTGAAAATTAGCTTATTGAACGGAACATGGGAGATGAGTGAAAAGAACTTAATTTTGGGAAATTTTTCGGTTCCGTGTATGTACCAAACGGTACAGGACGAGGCAATGAAAGAACCAACAATAACATTCAGTTACTCACGAACAGGTGACTCACACCACTTGCCTTCGCTCACACAGCATGAAATTGATGCATTTGTCCATAGAAAATATATGCTCAGTCATTCAAAACAAGGATTGGGTATCATTACGGAAGAATAAATGTGCTGACTGAGCGATTGACTGCGTGCTCTGCTGTCAGTGACTCGTTAACTTCCCAATCATTCAGACTCTCACAAAGCAGTGAATCATGAGAAAGATAGCTGTTCATATTCATATGAAAATTACTCATTGAACCTGAATGTTTTGCGCACTGGTCGTGGGAAAATATTTGAGGATCTTTCATTCATTTCCTTTAAAATGACCGTTAGCCAAGCTGTATCCAAAGTGGTCGATTATCTTTAGTATTGACCAGAAGTAGTCACTATCCGTGAATTTGACAGATGAGATCGAGATGAACCCAAAACATATTCAAACTGGCATTTATCATTTCGGCACAGTCAAGCCATCTCTCATCAGTTCCAGTCCTAGTCACGTCGGCCTGTGATTGGAGATAGGGCGTAGCAAGCAGTTCACTTAAATCTGATTTCTCAATGATTTTGCGCCACCACCTCAAATCCATGCGCCCCTTTCAAGAGCGCACATAATTGTAATATAGGAATGCATAACCATAGATGTAACTTTAAGACCAGAAAGTCCCGAAAAAACGTGCTCATCTTTTTAGCTCAGCTCTGGTACTCTGTTCGGTCCCAAGCTAATGGATGCACCCCTCGAAACATAGAAAATCCACGAACCCCTCATTTCATCTGTCAAACTTTCATATCAAATCAAAACAAACATAGTGTAGTACTAGAATTTCGATTAGAATGGGGTACGTTAATCGATTTGCTTGGGACCAATAGGCTAGTCAAGTAGTGAGCCAATTTAAAATCGATAGTTTCGTATTGATTGTTGGTATAACTGAATGTCCACGCAAGTTCAGTTTCCTCTAATTAACACTGGAGTATGGGTAAAGCTTTTCTGCAATCAGCATAAAATAAAACTTAGAACGAGAGTTGAAGCCAGACCCTGATCAGCCAGACCCTGATCATCCAAACCCCTAATCACTGTTCTATCTTACCATGCATTTTTCACAGGCATCGTTCACAAACATGAATTGGAAAGCGATCATAACGAAGCTGCATAACAGGTAATAGATGTCCTTAATTTATACGAAAATAACCATCTCCAACCGATAGTGTAACTTCAGACATGACTGTCATTTTCTGATGCCATTTCCCAGATAGAACATCTCTGAAAATCCTAGATTTTTCTGACATTCCTGGAATTTACAGTGCCTTTTTTCTTTCTGGACTTCTTTTAAGTTATCAGGACTTCCTTGTGATTCTCTTGACTTCCCTGAAGTTTACTGTACTTTTCTGAAGTCCTCAGAGATTCTAAACATTTCCACAATTTTCCTGAAGTAAATGGAAGTCATATGAAGTTTTCGAACCTACCCGGAAGCTCACAAAACTTCCCTTACAATATTTAGACTTTCGTGAGCT